TAAGGACCTTTAAACATTCGCTGTAAAAAACCTGCGAACAAGTTAAAAATTTTCTTCAATTTGTTTATTAGTTACTATGCTTATAACTCAAGAACGTTTTGACGGATTTTCACAATTCATACAACTTCGGAATGAAATCTTGGGAAAACATGCCAATAAAAATATAAAAGAAGTGTAAATTTTTTATTGTTTTCAATTCTGAATGAATAATATAAAAAATGAAATAGTAACCAATACGATGTTAAATAGCGATCTTTCATGTCTGAAATTAGAATTTAGCTTTCAACTCCAGGATCTACATCGTGCTTCAGCTCGAAGATGCGAACACATTTACACAAAAAAAAAAAACGGCAGAACGTTATGGGGGTCATTTCAAAACGGGGACCTACCTACTTCTTTCACATGACAATAATCCGTCCAATGAGAACTCAATATGCAAAATTCATTGGGACTGAAATCAGTGAAATACCGGATATAAAGGGCACAAAAAGAAGAGGGAAAAGGATTTCTATTCTTGCAGAAATTCTTCCTAAACTTTCACGATACCTTAAATCGCTTTTGCAGTTTATGATATTGGTTATAACCCCTGGATAAGGATACAATCCGATTTCTAGTATATCATATATAACATTTTAACCATATTTTCATACTAATTTTGGCAAATGTTGGTAATTTGGGAAGAAACTATCCTTGCAAAAAATGATCACGTTTTGTATAACCATTATATGATTTAAGGAACCGGACATTTGTTTAATCGTCTTTGAATTATACTATGATAAAAGATATGGACATTATGGGGTCTCCAACGATCAATTTCAATGACAAATACTACTTATTACTTTAAATACAAGTAAAAAATTAAGTTCGACCGGGCAGAATTATTATTATCATCCACCTCAGGATAAAGGAAACATTTTTATATAAAAGTATCTGAATTCAAGCGTGTTTCACTTTAAACTTCATATACCATGGTTAACTTAGTCAAAGTTAACTTATCAAAAAACCATAAAGTGAATGAGGCCGTTATATGGGGCCATACCAAAAAAGGAACCTCTGTTGACAGTTTTATACTTCAAGGATTGTAATCTATCAAACTTTCTAAGATAGCAAATTTGAAACAATTATGTGCGTAAATGTGACTAGGATTATCAACATACACAATGTCGGTAGGTATCGTTATATGTGTTAGACAAATCCGAGGAGAAATGTGGCAAAAATCATCAAAATACCGAATTTAGAGATACCGTTATATGGGGACTATACCAAAACGTGGACCGATAGATCATTTTCAATACCAACCATCCTATACACAATACAAATCGTTCTGCTAAATTTTGATGCTCTACGTCAAATAATGTAGGCTGTATAATTTAAACAAACAGACATACAGACGGACAAATTGACTTAGAAGTTTGTGCTGATTATGAATATACATATGTATATTCTATGGGGTCTATGACGAACATTTATGGATGTTACAAATGGAATGAAAAAGTTTATATACCCTCCTTTCCAAGGTCGGGCCGGCAACGTGGACCGGGCCACCTAGTTTATAAATATAATTGTAGAAACAATGTTAAGAAAATAGTGCATATAAAAGAATAACAAAAATAATGAGAATTCAGTCGTCATTCAATTGCGTTTTAATTACTATTTGACGGCTTCCTTCAAGTTCATGTGCTTGTAAGGAAAATAAATCAAGATTTTAAGTACTAATTTTTATTTATGTTCTTGAAAGGGCTCACATTAAATCCTACTTATATTAACATCTAATATCTTATCTATTTTGCCACGGTTGTCCATTGCAATTGAATTGCAAAATCGATGCCCAAACACGATGATCCAGAATTGGATAAGAATACCGTTTTATTTGAATCTACTAAACCAACTTATATAACATGGGTATAATTTGAAAGCTTATAAAAATACCTATTCATTCATTAGTCAAATTATTCCAAACGGTTCGATTGTAATACAAGAAATTTGGTATTATTATACCGACAATTTTTGAATACCCCCCAAAAAGGCTAAAATTGATCTTTTATAGTGTAATAAGTTTTATGTACCAATTTATTTTCTACACTCTTGAATTCTAACATGTTGCTATATATTCAGATATGCCTCGTAGTTTCGAAGATATTTTCTGTAATAACATGTATTTAAAGTTTATAGCTTTTAAAAAGCCAGCTTTTGGCGAATGATTGGGACTTCCACTGTTCTTTATACTCTACATCAAATAATGTGGGCTGTAAATTAAGAAATAATCTGCAAGATATCGATGAAAAGGGACTTTATTCAATAAATAATACAGCATCAGGACTCACACACTCTATAGAAGATTTAATAAATAAATTTCAAGACATATTCGTGGAAAAAGAAGGATGTGTTCCAAATTATGAAGTCAAGTTGCAAATTAAGGGAAAATTCAAGACCACAATCGTGTAGAAAAAGAGCTAAATGAGGGGATCGACCTTAGTAATTATTCCGAAGTCAGACGTAGGTGTTCGACTGTGTGTCGACTATAAGGTGGGGGTGAACCCGAAGCTGGTCTCAGCAAATTACCCGATTCGAGGAGTTGATGAGATTTTAAACAAAATCAAAGCGTATTTACACCTAAAGGTAGACAGAGAGTCAAATCAAATCCAGACTATTTCAACACATAGAGGGACTTATTTGGTACATCGCCTGTCCTTTGACATAAAGACAGCACCTTCAGAATTCAACCGAATTATGGAACAGATTTTATCCGGGCTAAGAAATGCCATGTCTTACTTCGATGACATAATCGTGTACGGAGCTACAGACGGCGAATGTAAATATAATTTGCACGAATGTTTACAACATCTCAAAGACCATGATTTACATCTCAATTTAAATAAATGCTCGTTCATGAAGATTGAAGACAAAAATAGAATACTTAGGTTACGTTATTGAACATAACAAAATTTCAAAGTCTCCATCAAAAGTTCAATGAATTATAACAGTTCTAATGCCGTTTGATTCGCAATTGCCCGTAGTAGTTGCATGTGATGCCAGCCCAACGAGAATAGCCGGTGTGATGTCGCATATAGTTTATGGACGCGAGCATCCTGTGGCGTTTGCTTCTCGATCATTAACGCAAGCCGAGAAAAACTACAACCAGTTAGATCGCGAGGCATTGGCAATTATCTTCACCATAAATCACTTTTTCAATTATTCTTACTAACAATCGTCCGCAGTGAGATCATGGAAGTTAGTGCGATATGCAGAGTATTTATCGAATTTCGATTATTAAATTGTTTTCAAAAAAGGTTCAGAAAATACAAATGTCGACTGCATTTCCCGAGCAACAAAAGATTTAGAAAAACCTTCAACTGATCAAGTAATAAATGAAGAGGTAAATCAACTATGCTGAGATTCTAGCAAAAGAAACTGCAAATGATCCAGAACTATCCAGTCTTTTAAAACAATTAGTCAATGACTATGACAATAATGAAATGTATACGCTAAGCAATAGTATAATATTCAAGGGTCAAAGAGTATTGATTCCAAAAAAAGCTTCAAACTCAAATTCTTCAAGAGCTTCACCACACACACCTAGGCATTGCTAAAATGAAACAGCTCGCCAGGAGATACTGCTTCTGGAAAGGTATCGATGCTGATATAGAGAGAATGGTAAGGTCCTGCGAAGCCTGCGTACAGGTTCAATCTCAACCAACAAAAGCCCCGCTACGCGACTACGCTGGTCCTTCTCAAGGTTATAATTTTCTAATTGTTGTAGACGCAAAATCTAGATGGGCAGAGATAAAAATTACTCGAGATTTTCCCTCAACAGTAATCACAATAAAACTTCTAGAAGATATATTTTTTATTCACGGCTTCCCGATCATAATGGTCTCAGACAATGCAACAATTTTTACTAGTGATGTTTTCAAACCATATTGTTCCAAAAACGGAATTTTCCAAAAATTAATAGCGCCGGGACAGCCTAGTACTAATGGGTTAGCCGAGCGCAACGTCCAGACTCTTAAGCGCAAATTAAAGGCAATGTCGTCCGAACAAGGAACACATCAAAATAAAGTCAATGGTATTCTACACGGATATCGAGCTACATCCTTGTCAAGCGGGAAGAGTACAGCCGAATTATACTTTAACTACGTATTCGAATAAGACAATATGCTATAAAGCCAAAAATACAATTTCAACCAACTAAACCGATTCCAGGCATTCGACAATTAAGCGTTGGAGGAAGAGTCCAAGTTTTACACCTGAGAAATAATAAAACTATGGAAAACTGTTACCATAGTTGAGAAGTATGGACAGTTACATTACCTCGTGAAATTAGATGATGGCTATGTTTTGAAACGCCATATCGATCAGGTAAAATCAACTAATGTTCAACAACGTAAAGTCTACTTCGATCCAGCCATAGATAATTCGTCAACAAAACAACCAGATAATAGATATCAACATTACTCATTTCCAGCATACCAACAATATCAATATAATCCAGGAAATAACCCAACTCTTCAACAACCTCCACAACAAAATCTTCAACCATCTCAAGAAAATAGACCATCTACGCAAGAACCAACACGCAACATACATCAATTCAAGCAAATAGACCAGATACTCAAGAATCTTGTCAATATACAGACAATAGACCAATTACTCAAACACCGTCTCAACCAGCTTTTCAAAATAATAATTTAAATGTTCGACAACCTCAAGTACGATCTGGAGTAGACCAATCATCGATGGAACCACAACATCAACCTCTAAGAAGATCTCAGCGTTTCCGAACAAAACCAAGCTATCTTAGAGATTATGTGAACGAAATTGATTAATGTAATTGAATTCAATATCTTATTATTTCTATTAATGAATTGTATCTTAATGATCTCTATTAAGTGTGGGAGACTGTTATAACCCCATTTTATATTAATACATATTGGCAACTCTATTGATATTTATGATCTGTCATTCATCATTCCTTTTTGTTAGTCTTAAGTTATCTGTTGTGAAATAAACTACTGAAATGTAAAAAACGCGTGTATTATTTCAACCCCTTCAAGTTACAACAAGATTGATGAAATCCTGATTGATTTGGATAAATTCTCCTATTTAATAGACCAAGCAAAGTAATAATGCAAAAAAATAAAAAGGTGAAACTAATTGCATGACAAAGTGCAGTTATTGAGTGGATTAACTGCGCAAGTGTTTAAACTTCACGTCAATTAACTCTTTTGGAATCTTGTTCAATACTTTTAGATGGGTCTTGCAAAGAGTGGTGTTGGTATACTGTAATACGTTTTCTATTTCCTGTTGCTGACTTATAAAATTGATGATGTATTATATATATGAGGTAGGTAGATTATTTCAGGCTTCAAAGTGTCGATAAATGGTAACATAACCCTTTTTCATTAAAGGGTATATATATATATATATATATATATATATATATATATATATATATATATATATATAAATGTAAGTTGTGTTAGTTACTACGCTTATAACTTAAGAACAGCTGGACTGATTTTAACGATTCACACAAATTCGGAGTTGTCTCCTCTCCGAAAAGGATAATATCCAGAAAAATCGCGTAAAAATGTGATATATTAACATTTTCATTTTGACTTTTCAAATGTACAATAGTAATGTTTTATTTTGTATGATTTTTTTTCCATTTTGACTTACTTTTTTCTAATGTACATTTGTAGTGTTTTTTATATTTTATTTGATGGCGGGTTACATGGAAGCGTAGTACCGAATTATATGGTGGCGAAACGGAATAGATGATATCGAAAGAAAGATAATTATTAATTAAAAAATAATTACTTTGTCAAAATCGCTAAAAAAATCACGGAAAAGAGATCTCATTGCAAAAATTCTCAAATCGGGAAAAAATTGAAAAAATTTTCAGTGGAATCGAATTTTAAAATGATAGTAAGGGTCTTTAAACATTTGCCGTAATAAATCAGCGAACAGGTTGAAGATTTTTTCAATTTGTTATTCTTCTTTTGTCATTTTTTTCAATTTGTATTATCATATTGAATTCAATGGATTTTTTGTGAACAATATAAAGAATAATTTTTCACTATATACAATTTTTCACAAAAAAAAAAAAATGAAATAAGTGCGAAATACGATGTTAACTGACATCTAATTTTCGATTACAGGGCCGACATCGTGGTTCAGATGGAAGATGCGAAAAAATTTAAACAACCAAAAATGACAGAAAAAGCCAAATGGAGCTCATTTCAAAGCGTGGACCTACTTCTTTCATGTGACAATAATCCGTCCAATGCAAAATTCTTTGGGAGTACAATCAGTAAAATACCAAATATAAAGGGTGGAAAATAGTAGAGCGAATGAGACTCTTAGTAAGAAAAGGATTTCTATCCTTCCAGAAATTCTTCACAAACATTCAAGATACCTTAAACCACTTTTGCAGGTCATGATATCGATCATAACTCACGATAAGGGTACATCCCGATTTCATATTTATATAACCATCATATGATTTAAGCTATTTTTGGGGTCTTGGCCACTTTTTTCATTGCTTGGCCCATATTTGGCATCATTGTCTCTAAGGGGTTAGGGAACCATCATACAGATAATTGCCAGATAGGAATTTATTTAAGTAAAGTCCCCACATTGGAGTATACCCAAGTCCACTTTCACATATAATGTGTGGTCAGAAAATAAAATTTTGTATTCTATTGGATTTGTAACCCCCAAGACAATATTGGTTGGAAACGTATATTTGGGATATACATCTATATGAAATAAATTGTGGAAACATGAACAAATTACAAATATATGAAATTAGCAGGGGCCGAATATTTGTTGAATCGTCATTGAATTATACTATGATGAAAAATATGGTGGATAAAACTATTTTTACTTATTTAAATCACGCGAAATTTTTTTCAGTTGTTGTTGTTCTGCTATATTTTTGATTTGGTCTCTATTTGTCATATTGGATTATAAGGGCTAGAAGAATGTTTTCAATATAGGTCGATGTCTCGGAGTAGTGCCCATATAAAAGTACCTCCTGGTTTTACCATATTTCAAAGGATTTGGCTAAAAATGTGTATTTGGGGGTGAAAATCTTACACAAAAATTTGAACATATCTACAAATTTTAGGATTTTTTTTCCATATAATAGTACCCCTCAAGTCCACTTTTTGGCGGACAAACAGACCGACATGGTTAGAGGGATATATATATATATATATATATATATATATATATATATATATATATATATATATATATATATATATATATATATATATATATATATTGTAACGAACACCATATTTGTGTGGAAACACTTTCTAAGAAATGTCAGTTTTGGTCGAAATAAACAAAATATTAGTGGTAGGACTATGGGAGTTATAAGTGCTAGCAATAGCAGTCGGCAGCGGGGTCCGCGTCCTTCATTAATATTTGTCTGTGTAAATGTTACGATAATATTTTATAACTCCCGATTTTTTTATAAACAAAAGATATATGGACTGATGTTACAAAGCATACTGATTACTACATGCCCCATAAACGTTTGTAACGAACTAGGCTGAAATTGACAACAAAAGGGAATTCATCTAAACATGATGCAACGAAATATGATAGTTCAGGAGCAGAAGAATACTTGGATGAACGAGGCAAAGTGAAGAAAATGCTTAGTATGACATCATTTGATTCTCTTTCTTTATCGTTCGCAATCAATTTATTGTAACTCCTGAAATACTGATGTCGCACCAAACAAAGTGTATATATTCTTAATCAGCATAAAAATTATAAATATATATACAAATACATATATATATATATATATATATATATATATATATATATATATATATATATATATATATATATATATATATATATATATATATATATATATTCGCAATAATAGACAGAAAATAAAAAAAACATGTGGAAATCATTCTAAGACTTCTTAACTCAAGCCACAAAAACTTCAATTTACTGTGGAAATATAAAAAGATAACAAAATAAGATATATGAACATGGTATACCAAATACATACAATAAGAAAACTAATTAATAGAAAGTTTAAAAACAGCAACACAAATTAAAATCACTGATTAAACATTTTACCATGACTAAAGGTGGGAATACGTAAAACGTTAACAAATATGCGCTTTAGACCAAAGTTAACAGACATCGTTTCAAATGAAACACTACAAAAAAAATTACAAGAAATATTAAAACAAATCAACGTTGTGAACCAAATGACTTTTAAAGGGAACAATGGAAATGCGTGCAATAAGGTGCATGTAGGAACGACAAAACAAACATTGAATATATGATTAAATGACCATGCCAAGAGTTCCTGCGATAGGCCCTCACATTCTTGACGGATATTAGCTGTGTTCCAGTACTTTTTAGTAGTAAAACTAGCAGAAGAGAGAACAGTACGAAATGCCATTCTCATTTAGGTGTGCTCAAAAAATAAGGGAACGGAAAATTAGCAGAAATACGATGAAATGTCAACATTCAAAATTCCAAAAGAAAACAGTCTAAATCGGACTTACTGAAATGGACGCCAAAATTTAAAAAAATGAGTATTGAAAATAATTTAAAATTAAAAATTATTTTTGAATGCTGTTTATTTAGAAAGTTTTGATTTCAGAATCCGTTGAAGAGTATTTAGAGGTGGAGTTTTCTCAAATCACAACCCCGGAGAAGCTGACATGATTGGAGGCGCCGGTTAAATTAATGTTAAGTCTGCTAGAAGAATAATGCCACAATTTGGAAAGACAGCCAACCTAAAAAACAAAAATAAAATGTTCGCAGTAATAAACAAACATCTTTGATTTTCAGCTTAATTTTTTAATTTACTTTTCACTAATTTTGCACTGTTTTCCAATACGTTTTCATCGTCTGATTCCTCATTCAGTGAGTCCTCTTCACTTCTGGAATCATCCAAAAGCGAATACATCAGTTGCTCCCTATTTTCCCTTTTTGTTTTTTGCACGACAAATATTAGTTTTAAGGTTTATCTTTTTTCTTTACATTTGTTGCCACGCGGGAACCTTGAAATGTATCAATACATTTTTCAACCTTATTAGCCCTGCCAATTAAATGCCAAATTTACAATTTGCACATTTCTGCTCGGTCAAATTCATGTAGCTAAAACAAGCAGAAATGTGCACCACTCAGCGCCATTTTTTCTCGAGAGAGCTGCAAGTTTTGCTAGTTTTTGGAGTACGGGAACGCGTTGTAGCAGAATTAGCACTAATTAGTACTAATTTGTAGGTTCTGGAACACAGCTATTGTCTTTAAAAGCTGAAAGAGTCTGAGGCTTGTTGACATAAACCATAGACAAAAGAAAATATAGACAACGAAAAGTTAGTTTGGTCTTTTTTTCCAGGTGGCTCTCATCATGTTTTGCATAGTCAACATGCTCATTTACGCGTTCAAGCCACTCGACTTCGAAAACACATTTTATCGTTTTTTAAGAATTTCACTTGATCATTCCTGAATTTTTCGATGTCATCACGTACTTTTCACATTTCTTTTATTATGATATAATTTTCAACTGACAAATATCCTACAGTTTTTGTTATTTTTAACGTTTTAGAATTGAGTGACTTCAATATTCCCACTCAAACCCCTGAAACGATATAGACGACATCTGCTGATCCGATTTTTTTCGAAGATAAACGGTGAGAGCATTTCGTTGTCTATATTTTCTTTTGTCTATGCATAAACCCGCGACTTCAAAACACCCCACAGAAAGAAGTCTGGAGCTGTCAACTCAGGCGATCTTTCTGGCCTGTGCATATCATCAAAACAGGAGATTAGGCGCCCGGAAAATTCATTTTTCAGCATATCGACTGTGGCACATGCAGTGTGTGCCGTTGCACAGTCCTGTTGGAACCACATATTTTCCAATCCCAACTCATCAAGTTGCGGCAAAATGAAGCCATTGATTATTGTTTTGTAGCGCTCACCATTCACAGTAACCGTTTGGCCCGCGACGTCGAAGAGAAAAGGTCCGATGACTCCTTCAGCGAAAACAGCACATCATACAGTGACTTTGAGCGGGTGTACTGGCTCTTCGTGGGTGATGGTCACAAAGATATCAACCATTGATTAAATAGGTTCACGATTTCCTATAGCCCCCATATAACATTATATCCTGATATTCGGTATTCTTATGATTTTAAACTCTTTTTTTAACGGATTCGTTTGAAATTCTATATTTATATTCTGTAATGGGAACACTGTCTATATGGGTCCACGTTTTTCTATATCCTCCATGTAACGGTACTCCCCGATCTCGGGAATATATACAGAAAATTGTCTATGAAGGTTCAAGGTTTGGCATATGCTCATTTAACATTGTCACCCGTTTATTCTATTTGAAGTTTTAAAAAACTCTCGAACCGAGTTCGCTGATATCTGCTTTTTGAAATTAACTCGCATAACTGAAAATATATAAACAAAATGTTGTTTCAACTTTTTCCAAAGTCAAGGATACAAGTTCACCAAATTCATAAGTCTTTTGTTCTGACTAAACTTTCAGTATAGACGAAATACGTGAGCGATCCCTTAATGTAGAGTTATCTTTTTTCTAAATACTATTAATAATAATTGTCTAAATACTTTCTAGAATAAGTATAACCTTCAAATTTACAGAATCTGAATCAAATTCGCCGTACCGAGCCTATCTTCAAAGCCTCTTTCTACTCTTTGTCTGTCAGGAAAATATTTTTTACAATTTGAAGATAATATTAGTTTTATGTTTTTTTTTTCCTTTATTGGTAATTCGCATTTCCATTCTGTCCACAACAAAGTTTTTAAGTGTAGACATAACATATGGCTTATTCCGATCTGTCACTTCTACCCATTTACGCAAGGTATCATATTGTTTTATTGAGATGGTCACTGGCAATCAGCAGCTAAATAAATTTGAAATAAGCATTTATAAAAAAAATTGATTTACAAAAGTGATAAAAGAAGTACAATCTGTTTAGGTAAGTGTAAACACCAAAGGTCAATAATTACACGCAACTAAAAAGGGGTAAAACTCAAGCATAACCTTCGCTTCTTATTCTAATTCCTTATGTTGTACTTTCGATATCTCTGCTTTTTTTATAGACCACTTCATGGCTGTTTGTCCTATCATTCATTCTACCTACTAAACGAATCGATGTGTGTGTGTCATGACCTTTATTATCTTACAAAATGTCGTATGTTATAACGCACAAGATCACTAAATTGCAAGATTTTCCAGTTCCATCTTCTAGGTTTTAGAATGCCTTGGTTACTTATAATTTCGTTGTTGCTGACCTCTGTCATTAAAATAGTGCAATTGTCTGAAGTCATCATGGGTTATCCTGTAGCTGATGTATTTAAAACACAGTTTTGTTTGTTTAGGCAGCTATATACTAAGCATTTTCTTCACTTTGCCTCGTTCATCCAAGTATTCTTCTGCTCCTGAACTATCATATTTCGTTGCATCATGTTTAGATGAATTGCCATAACTGCAATCAACTCAAGAAATGGTCCTCTGATCCTCTGACTTTTGCCTCCCTGACTTCCAATTTTCTATTTGACTGCTTCATCTTAAGTTCCCGATCTTGGACTTGAGTTTCCAGGTCATGCCATATATATATATATATATATATATATATATATATATATATATATATATATATATATATATATATATACTAGCTGACCCTGTCCGCGTTGCCGGCCCGTAGTTTTAGTCTATTATGCATATTTGTCAAAGCATAATTATTCAAAGATATGACTGTTATAAATGTTCATGTACTGGTCGATT